GAGGAGTGATTGTGGTCACTCAAAGAGAGAGATAAGGCAAACTGCCCACTCGACAAAGGTAATCTGCCATACAGATGGTAATGGAAAACGTCTTGCATTGCAATCTGGAACACCAGCCCCTCAAAGCCCAGCCACCTCTGTGCCTGTTAAATTATCAACTTTTAGACTAAACAAGTGCCCTTGCTCTTGATGCTGTAATTTTATTGCCTGTTCCCAGAACAGGAAAGACCTGCTTGGCACCTGCTGATGCACAAGCAGCTGGGAGCTGCAGAATGGTTCCAAACCTTCCTGCTTTGCTCCCCGGGCAGCCCTGGAGCAGGCAGATAACAGTTCTGACAGGGGTTTACTGGGAAAGAGGGGATGATGGCAGTAGTGAGCATTGTAGCTGTGCTGGTATGATGGAAATACGCTTATCTCCAGGATGCAGCATAGGCAGAGCCTGTTCAAATCATGTCTGGGGTAAATTAAAGGCATTTCTTACCTAAATCAAGACTATTAATGCCAGATGTAAATATAAATATTCATATTATATATAAATATAAATCAGTCTTTGCCTCACAGGCTTCTCTCCGTCCCAGAGGTGAGCAGAAAACAATGTTTCCACACCTGTAGTTAACCTGAGAGCATATTTACAAGCTAACATTTCTGCATGCATTTGAAAACATTTCTAATTGATTTTGCTCCTCTGAAGATGTATTTCTTTGTGAGGGATGTGTGAATTTGGAGACATGTAATGAATCCTGAGCAGATATTTGTGCTGAGCTGATGGATGGTGCTCGATGACTTGCTCTCTCTTATTGAATGCAAGTGGAGCATGAAAGCAAGGAAGTCACCAAGGTGTGAAATGATGTGGCTTCCCACTAATGAGGAGATAATTCTGCATGTCAGAGAAATCCCCTGCCTGGTGCCTTGTGCCTGGCATCAGAAACTCTTTGCCTGTGACCTCCGCAGCTCTCAGATTTCCAGAATCTGACTGTTCTACAGGATAAATCCACAGATCATTCAGCATGTCTCTCCTTTCCATTCCTGGATTTCCTATAAGAAATATTTTTTAAGTTCTTTCTATCCTAGTTTTAGGCAAGAATGTGCATCCTCTCCACTTTATTCTGCATGTATCACAATGCATAATTCCTCCAAGACTGTTTTTGGTGGGATATGAGGAGCTTTAGCATGTTTGTTTCTGCTGTGATTTCTCAGCCTGGGTTTGGATGTGTTTGTGATTTTTGGCATGAATTCCCTCCATGGTTTGTGTCAGGAGCATTCACTGATGGGTGTAGGAAAGACAAAGGACCTGTTTGGATACTGAGGGTTCCAATGTGATGTAAATGAGCAAAGTTCTTTGGAAGTAATCAAAGAGAACTGATTTCCATCAGCTGAGGATGTGCCAGCTCCCTGCTGGAAGCATTCCAGCTCCTCTCTGATTGCTGCTCAGGGTGGCTCTGTGAGAACCAGGCTGTGTGCTGCTGCTCCCTTTGCTCCAGGCCTGGTTTCAGTCTCCAAAACCAGGAGAACTCCTCTGCTTGCTTAGTTTTCAGGGCTCCCAATGCACAGCCCATAGAGTTTGCTGGAGCAGGTGTTAGCTGTTGTTTGGGGGTTATTATCAGGAAATTTTAGCACTTTTGGCCACCATACCTGGAGAATCAATCAGTGAAACACCATTTGATCCTCCCAGCACTGCTCAGTTATTTAACATCCCCCAGCCCTGAGCCTCCTGCTCTGCTTTTATTCCCCCTTCACTCACCCAGCTCAGAATGACTGGAGGTCTTCATGAGCTTAACATAACCCCCAAAGCTTCCAGTAGTTCCCCCCTGTCCTGGGCAGCACAGGATGAGGTATTTGATCAGTTCCCTATCACTCTGAAAGGCCTGTCCACTTTAAACAGAACACAGGAAATGTTTCTGCTGGGAAATCTTTGAGAAACAGAAATTCCCAGTCTCCCAGCTACCACAAAATTCCAGATTAACCTCAGTGGTAGTACCCAATGCCAGCTCTCTTGGTCCCTGGAAGCTCTACCTGCTGCAGGTATTTCCCATGGATTCACAGCCACCTGTTCCTTTTCTGCTTCAAAACCCAGAACTGCATTTCCACATGGCTTTGGTACGGATTTTAGGCTTTGTGAGTGATGCTTTTCCTCTTGACTGGTTTATTCTTCCTTTTGCATGGGATGAAATTCTTACAGCTGTGGAATGAGAGCCTGGGGTGGTGCAGCATGGACAATGGAAGGTGCTGCAGCATCAAACCTCTCTTTTCAAATTGCATGCAAAGAGAGATGTTGATGCATCTGCTGCTGATAAGGGATGTGGGAACAGAGAGATGCTGCATGTGCTTGTCTGGATTGTGCTCAAACACAGCAGGAGTCTGGCGTGAAAGTGGTGATGTCAGAGAGAAAAAAAGATTGTGAGACCTTTCCAAAAACTCCCACCTCTTACCCTGTTCCATCAATTCCATGAGGTGCCAGGGCTGAGTTCAGTAATGACCAAAGCACCAGGGTGGGAGCTCAGATCTAAGGATTGTGTTTGTCCATCCCTCAAAACCGAACTCCCAGCACGAGGTAAACTCCTTATGTAGAGACACAAAGATTAGTTCACAGAGCAAGAGCAGTCTCACCTCTCCATGGTTTGTTCTCTCTGGTTTTTTGGTGGTTTTTTTGGTGTTTTTTTTTTTTTTTTTTAATAAGAAACATCATCCCTTGATCTTTACCATGGCACTGTGGTTGCTTTGTCACCTGTCCTGGATGTTGGATGGCCGAGGATTTTGGAGCTCCCCAGCAATCCTGTTTGGTTCATGGCTCCACAGGAGAACCCCTCGGTCCCTGGAGAGCATGAGAGGTTGTTTGCTTTTCTGTCAGACATGCATGAGCAACAAATGGCAGGAAGAAGGGCTCTGCATCATGGAGGAGAATGAAACTGAGCTTTTTCAGAGAAATCAGAATTGCTTTCAACCTGTGACAGTTCCTGCATTACTTATTATAACCAAGCTTCTATTTAAAAGATTTAACTCCACTGTAATTTTAGTTTCACTTTCATTTTAAGGAAATGTATTTGTTTCATTTGTTTCTGTTGCCACCAACAGATTGTGATCTCTGATACAACCAGTTCCCTTGCTGTCTGCTTTCTCTTTTCCAGATAACAGTCTTGTTTTGACAGAATTCATATTTTACCTCAATGTATCTCCTTTCTGTTCCTGATAAGGGAAGACAGCTCTGGATTAATACATTTCTTTTAATGTTATTGAACATTTTAATAATGTCATAAACAATCTCTTTCCTTCAAACAGGATGGGAAAAGCTCAACAGAACTTCTGTTCCTGATAGTAGCAATTTACTGATTTGTTAATGAATTTCACTGAAGGTTATTATGATCTATGAGTGCTCAACCTCTGAAAATCCAGCCCCAGCTGCCTGCCTGAGGCTTTGAGCAATCATGCAATAATCACTCTGGTTTTACAGGGAGAAACTCCATATGAGTGATGCTGCTGAGCCTAAATTTCATTTATTCCAGGGTCCCCTTAAATACTGTATTACAATATGCATAAAGCTGAAGTTTACAATTGACAAATCAGATCCATTTCCCTGCATGCAGCATCTCCTACGAATTCTCAGTCATGCAGAATGGGATTATTCAGAGACACTCTGTTCTCACTGTAACACTTATGTGCAACAATTCAAATAAATCAGAAGGGTGCTGAAAATCAGCACAGGCCACAGGTCAGTGACAGAGCACATAGGAGTTTCCACATAGATAAACCAGGCAGTGCCCTCTCATTTTCCCCTATGACTGTTAATATTAAGGAATCAGTTGAATTCCCTTTGTAACAAAGAACTTTCCATTCTTGCTGAGCAAATACCTCAGCTTTCAGATTTAACAGCAGAGTTACCTCTGATGGCTCTCAAATTCCTTGGCCACCCCTGTGGGGGTTTGTGAGAATTTGAATTTCTGTGAATGAGCATTTTGATTTTTACATCCGCAGAAAGGTTCTGTGGGTAGAATAATGAGCTGAAAAAAGATAAATCCATTAAAGACAAGCAGACATGGAGGCATTTTCCTCTTCTTTGTTGTTTTGTATCTGAAATAGTTTGGAAGCATAAGCAGCATCCTTCAAGTGGATGCAATTAAAACCATAAATATCTGAATCCCATTAAAAACATAAACATCTGAATCTGAAAAACATAAATATCTGAATCCCAGCTACTCTAAACCATACCCTTTCCTACCCTTACAACACAGTTACTTCAGAATGGCACTGAAGTGGTTTCGCAACTCAGTGTATCACACTGAGTAAAGTTGTTACAGTAATACCTACTTATCTCATAGGGAGTTAAATCAATGCTGATAAAGCACTCACAGCTGTAAGATTCTCTATGAGCTGCTTTCTGTGGGCAGTCTCCCAATATTTGTTAATTATTACAATTCTTCTCTCACTGTTTCATTTTGCCATGCCTCCAAAGAGATTTTATTGGAGTTATTTGAAACAGCTGATAATGTAAATGCAGGGGGGCAGGGGGAGCATGATTAAATGTGACATTCCTTAACACAGAACCTCATTAAAAAATCCAACATCAGCCCTGTGACGGTGTTCACAGGGGTCTGAGGATGAGGGAAGAGATGAGGATCTGACTCCAAGTTTCAGAAGGCTGATTTATTATTTTATGATATATATTACATTAAAACTATACTAAAAGAATAGAAGAAAGGATTTCATCAGAAAGCTGGCTAAGAATAGAATAGGAAAGAATGATAACAAAGGCTTGTGGCTCTGACAGAGAGCCCGAGCCAGCTGGCTGTGATTGGCCATTAATTAGAAACAACCTAATGAGACCAATCCCAGATGCACCTGTTGCATTCCACAGCAGCAGATAATCATTGTTTATATTTTGTTCCTGAGGCCTCCCAGCTTCTCAGGAGGAAGAATGCTAAGAAAAGGCTTTTCCATAAAAGATGTCTGTGACACAGCCCCACTCTGCAACCCAAGTAACAGCTTGCCTCTCTGTCCTTATCCAGAGGAGGAGCCCGAGCTGGGGGAGCTGTCAGTGTCACAGCCTGGCTGGGATGGTTTCCAGCTCACCTGGACAGCAGCAGATGGGGCCTTTGAGAGCTTTGTGCTGCAGGTGCAGGAGGCTGGCAGCCCCGAGGAGAGCCGCAATGTCACAGTGCCGGGGACACTGAGCTCTGTCAATGTCACCGGCCTCAAGGCCAGCACTCCTTACACCATCACCCTGCAGGGGCTCGCTCGGGGCCACAGGAGCAAGCCCATTTCTCTTGAGACCACCACAGGTACCTTCCCTGCAGCTGTTTGTGACAGAGATGTGAGCTCCTGCGAGTGCTGGGCAGGTCCTGCTGGCTGGGACAGCCTTGCATGAGCTCCTTACAGCTTGGCTGAACATCTCTGCCAAGGAAATGCCTCATGGTCAGGCTTCCCAGTGCCCTGGTGCAGCCCTTCCCTCCCTGCTTTCCCCTTTTTTTGTTCCCTTTCCTCACTTACCTGTTGGACACTAACAGCAAAACCCAGCTGGGTGTTGTACCTGCTTGGGAAAGGCCAGGTTGCCTGGTATATAAAAATCATTCCTCTATCAGCCCAGATAATCAAAGCCTGAGTGTTCAGTTTTTACCCTTTAGAAGCTGCCTCTGAAATTCTGTGTGAATTCAGACTCAGTAAAGCTGTGTGTACCTGACTCAGGGCAAGGAAAACACCTTCCGTATGTTCTCATATAGGAAAGGACGCAAATTAATTCCTAATCAGACTAATAAAGTGCATTAAGCCATCTAAGATCATGAAACAGTCTGGCCTGGAAAACATATAATGCAAAAAAGCAAATTCATCAGAACTACCCTGGCACAAAACTGGCCTGAAGGGAGGCAAGTGAGCTCTGTGCTATCAGCAGCTTGCATGAAGCTCATCAAGGGCCCCAAAATAATTTTCTGGCTCATCATGTGAAACTCAACAGTTTGAAATAAGAGCTTATCACAGGCTTTGACCATGAGAGATAAATGTATATTTACATCTCTGCTATGTGCCTCTCTGATCCTCCCAGGTGTCATGATAACTGTAACGAACAGTGTGAATTAATTGGCATTAAAGGGGCAACAGTCGCCTTTCCTTCAGATAATTTCTACAAGAAATTATTAAAATCAGACAATTTCTGCTGCCTCTGGGCTCCCCCTCAGCCCTTTGCTCTTCCTGTCTCTGTGAGATAGCCAGAGCTGGCTGGTGCCAGCACATGGTACCCTGCCCAGAAAAGGATGAAAGCACCTGTGAGAACTAATCAGAATTAAAGCATGAAGTGCAGCAGAGCTTGCTTGTTTCTGTGGAGCCTAGAGCAGCCTGGCTTGGGCAGGAATGGCTGTGATGTGTCCCAGTGAAGAGCTGAGCTTTGAGAGTCCTCCCCAGGAGCTGGGAGCAGATGCCCAAGGAGAGCAGAGCAATGTGCTGGACAAAGAGACCGAGCAGGAAACACATCATGGGTGTCCTGCCTAAATATGCAGTGTGCTCCCTTCCTTTACCCTCCTGAAAACAGCAGAAAATGTCCTGCTGAGGTTTTCCCTTCCCTTTCTGGGTCAAGCTCAGCAGCCAGCTTTTCAAAATCTTCCCTTCTGGGGACTTGCAATTGTTAAAAAATATCTGAACCTTCCTCTAACGCTGTGGGGATGTCTACAGAGAGGAAGAAACCCCAAGGCATCTCTCCCTGTTTTGCATTTTGGCTCCAGCTCCGAAATTACAAGCCAGCTTTCACAGACTTAAGCTGAAAGGGAAAGTAGAAGAGTAAACAAAACACAAGATTTTCCTTTGGATAAAGCAGAAGCTTTGGTTTTAGCTTCTCCTAAAACTGGAAGCCGTCTTTTCCAAATGCCCCAGGGGCATTCAAGACAGTCCTTCTGCATCTGCTTTCATGCTCAGACCTCAAAGACAACGGCTGGGAAAGAAAAATAACCATAGTTTTAAATGTTATTTTAATTTTTTTTTTTTCTTATCTAACATTTTGTGACGCTTTAATTAAATTTCCTCCCCTTAGTACCTGCCTGCTCGTAACAAGCTTTTACTCACATGCCCTTCCCCAGCTGGCAGTGCTGCCAGCAGGGCAGAGAGGAGCCTTTGAGAGCAGGAGGAGGTTGGGGCCCTTCTGACGGGTGTTGTTTCCCTCCCCAGGAGAGCAGCCCGGCGTTGCTGAGCTCACGGTGTCCGACATTACCCCTGAAAGCTTCAACCTCTCCTGGACAGCCTCCAACGGCGACTTCGACACCTTTACCATTGAAATTATTGATTCTAACAGGTTGCTGGAGCCCATGGAGTTCAACCTGTCAGGCAACTCAAGGACTGCTCATATCTCAGGGCTTTCTCCCAGCACTGATTTCATTGTCTACCTCTCTGGGATCTCTCGCGGGTTCCGCACACAGGCAATCAGTGCTGCAGCTACCACAGGTACACAGAACCTACCTCACTGCTAACTCTGCTTTTTTGAGCTCTTCCTTACAGGTTGTGCCCCCTTTCCCTGCCCTCAGCTACCCCACAGCCCACCCATTTCCCAACCTTCTGCCTTCCGAGGAAGATCGACCAGAAATACTGTGAGCTGGGAATGTTTGAATTTGAGTCACCAGCCCATCCAGCAAAGTCAGGCAATCCCATCGTGCTGGGGTTTCATTCACGCCATGAGTCTAGACATCATGGGGCAGCCTCTGAGGCAGAAGAGTAGCAAATCAAATATCCCAAGAACCAAGTGGGAGATGATTCCTTACGTTCACCTTTCAGCCTGTGTGTGCATCTGTCCCACAGCTCAGAGAGGACACAGCTTCTCTCAGAAAAGCTGATTTCTAGACCCAGATTTACCTAAAAGATGTCAGGCACATTTCAGTCTGTGCCAGCACAATCCTGCAAGGCACATTTACTGCTTGAATTTAGCTTCAATTATTCAGGTTGTGTTGGGTGAGAGATTGAAAAGTCCATTTGAGTTGATGTCAGAGAAGGGAATAGGCAGGCACTGAGTTGTTGGCAGTTGAACATTTCAAGGTTTTACAGTTGACAGCTTTCCCAGAAAAGACAGGAAAGTCAAATGTTCAGGATGAGAGTGGGAAGTGAGGACTGGACTACAGAAACAGAACATTGTTATTGTAGGCAGATAATGGCTCATGTTATGATTGTTAAATACCTCCACCAAATTTTGCCCCTCTAGAAAAAGTTGCTGTAGTGATTTGTCATAGGAATGGAGTAATGTGGTCAGTAAAGCAAAATATCAAATCTCAGCTATCAGATAATATAATATCAATTTCCAGCAGCAGCAGACTGTGAATATCCTCATTTGATGATGGGTGGCAGGGTCAGGGTGGCAGCAGGGGCATGGGAAACAGGGAAACACAAGGCTGGGTGACCCTTGTGACCCGTGGTTGTGTGAATTCAAACTTCTCTATTAATTTATTTTATTGCTTTGGCTTTTAATAACTGTGATACATTTCCATTTGTTTTTTCTTCCCGTAGTAGAGGAACTTCTCCTTAGCAAACTCAGTGTATCAAACGCTACCTCAGCCAGCCTGTCACTCGCCTGGGAGGCACAGGACAAGGCCTTTGACCACTTTATTCTGGAAGTCAGGAACTCTGACTTCCCCTTGGACTCCCTGGTGCTCACAGTGCCAGGGGATTCTCGGCACTCTGTAGTGACCAACCTCAAAGCTGCCACTAATTACACAGTCCAGCTCCATGGGGTAATTGATGGGCAAGGTGGGCAGACCTTGACAGCCATGGCAACCACAGGTATTTCACTGTTTCACCTTCCAGGTTTGCTTTTTACTCTCCTTTCTCTTGCTGTCCACCAAACTGCTCTACAACGTGGCTCCAACTCATCATCGTTCCCTTGGTGAATTATAGCATGGATCCTTCCAACCATGAGGGAAGGCTGAAATGCACTTAGAGGGCTTGGAAAAAGGTCTGTGGCAATGGAAAAGGCTGAAAAAGTGCCCCCAGCATTAAGAGAGGCAGTAGTGAACCATGATGGTTTCCTTATATATACACACCCCTCTGCAAGTTCAGTGTATATATAATTGCCTCGCTCCAGATGGTTGATGTTTTTTACTCAGCATCTCTGCACTTGATCTTGAGTGAAGTTGTTCATCCCACCCTCACTTGCTTTACTGGGGGTGGGAGAGAGGCCTTCGTGTGGTTCTCAGCCTGGAGAGGCTCCTGCATGTCAGTTTTGTCCTCCTTAAACCCAAATGTCTCCTGAGGCATTTGCATCCCTGGTGGGCGTTCCGTGCCGCATGTGAAATGATCGACCCAAACTGCATGGAGTGGTCTGGCCACCTTCTGCTGGTTCTGGTATTTTCTCTGCCCAGGATTTTTATGTTCGCAACACAGAGTGGGGCTCAAAACACAAATTCCCCTTTTCTTGGTGGTCAGCCCACCACTCTGTCCCTTGCATTGCTCCCTTTGAGTCTCCACAGCCTGTCTTGTTTCTCTGGGTTGTAGTGGTGATTCCAGGATGGCAGGAGATCACTAAGACTTGCCTGAGGATATGATTCCAGCTCATTTTGCATGTAACATCCCTGGGAGTCAGGCTGTCATGATGGGAATGTGCCTGACCATGGATGCAGGTGGCATGTGAAGGAATGTGGCCATGCCAGGATGAGGTTGGAAAGGCTCAGTTTGCCCTCTCTGAGCTGCATGTGGGGCTGAGGGCTCAGATTTCCTGGGTTTTCCACCCAAGCCTGTTTGCTTTGTGGATATTTTCTCATCTCCTTGCCTGTCTTCAAGAGCACCATGGTGGTACCTTCCCTGCTGGCCACGAAGGCATCCATGGCACTGGTTGATAGCATGACATCTGTGACATCTGTGTCCTTAATCGGGGCCACTTCCTTCACCTCTTCCCAGACAGTTCCAGAGAAGGAGCTGGATTGTTATTTAAAAGTCTTGCAGTGAGGGACATGAGTAAAAGTTGGAACATCTTGCAGCAGTACTTGTTTTAGCAAAGAAAAGATTTCACTCTTTCACCACTCTCTGTCGGTGGGATCTTCTCTCTGACTTTTCTCCCAGCATGGATCACTCTTTCATCATTATTTTTCTGTGTCTCACTGGGTGCATTTCCCAAGGTGTTCTTGGTTCCTACTCAATTGAAAACATAAAAATTAGAAAATCAGCCCAGAGAGCAAAACCAGGATTCTCTGACCCTCTGACTGTTGGGTCGTGTTTGTTCTCTCTCTGGGCTTTAATGAAACTTTAATGATTTTTGTGCTAAGTGTAAGTTTAAAAAGAGAATGGGTAAGGAGCTCTCCCTCTCCTGAAGGACAGGTTTCTCTCCTGCCAGGGCAAAGAAGTGAATTTGAATTTTCTCCAGCAGAAAAGGAAATTTTGGCTTCTTAAGGAGGTGCCCTGACCACTGAACATTCAGGAAGGAGAGCAAGAGCAGGGTTGTGGGATTTATTGTTTATTAGACATTCTCTGATTGTGCCTAATCAGAGGATGAGGAACACCTTATCTGTGGATGCCAGGGAGGTTTTGGCCTGAGATTAGTGCTGAGATAATCCCTGAAATCTCTCATAAACCTCTGAGTCCAAAAATAGAAGTATCTACAACTCCAGGCAACAGAAACACCAAACAGAACCTGGACTGTGATTTCAAGGATTCCTGCCTGAATCCAACTTTCTCTATTTTGGAATTGTTCTGGGTCTGTGTTCCCATCACATTCCCAGTGTGGAATTCCCACAATTTGCATGTGCATGTTATTGATGCTTCTGTAAACCAGGCCCAGATTTCATTGGGCAAGTTGAGTTTATTTAAGAAAATTTAATTTAAAAAATATAAAAGTCAGCACTAATTTCAGTGGCTTCTTTCCAAAACCTGAGAAAACAGCTCTTGCAAAGCTGCTTTTTAAAAAAATTATTTTATTTTATATTATTTCATATTATTTTATTTTATTTTATTTTATTTAGTTATTTTATAATTTTATTTTATTTTATTTTATTTTATTTTTCTTTATTTTATTGTTATTTTACTATTTTATTTTATTTTATTTTATATTTTCCTTTATTTTATTTTATTTTATTTTATTTCATTTTCTTTCATTTTATTTACTTATTTTATAATTTTATTTTATTTTATTTTACTTTATTATTTTATTTTATTTTATTTTATTTTATTTTATTTTATTTTATTTTATTTTTATTTTATTTTATTTTATTTTATCTTTTATTCAACCACAGCAAAACAAGGCTAAACCATTATTTTTGAGCACCTCCAACCCTTCCTCTGCTGATTCCCCCTTTGAGTAAAGCTGCCTGCTCACCTGTGTTCCTTTCTCCCCCAGAGGCTGAGCCACAGCTGGGCACTCTGGCCCTCACAAACGTTACCCCTGACAGCTTCAACCTGTCCTGGACCACCCGAGCCGGGCCCTTTGCCACGTTTGTTATCAAAATCCAAGATTCCCTGGCGGCACAGGAAGCCCAGGAGCTGACGGTGCCTGGGGGCGCCCGCAGCGCCCACATCTCAGGGCTCACAGACCACACTGCCTATGACATTCACATTCAGGGCACCACCAGGGCAGGTGTCCACACAGAGCCCCTCACTGCTTTTGTCACCACAGGTACCTGCTCCAAGCTTTGCAGTCCCTTTCCTGGCTCGGGGAAATGTGTGTGTAACCCAAAAAGGATCTCCCCAGCATGAAGTGCCTTGCCAGCAGCGATGGGTTTGTTTGGAAACCTGCTGCAAGGAGGGGTCAGAACAGGAATGTTGACCTTAAAAAGATTCCTAGGAGCAGGATTAGTTTAAAGGGAGTTAAAAGGTCCGGTTGGATGGGGCTCTGAGCAAGCTGGGATAGTGGAAAGCGTGCCTGCCCACAGCACTGAATGAGTTTAAGCTCCTTTCCAACCCAAATTATTCTGTGATTTTATGATTCTGTCATTAAGACCCCTCTGGAGCCTTTCTCCCATTTCTAATAATCTTTTATAACTCCTGAAGTTTGAGGAAGAAATTTGCCTGCTGCTTAGACTTGACTGGCTCCTGGAGCACCTCCTGTCCCAGGATGTTCCCTTCCAAAGACCTACCCAATATGTGAATCTTGGGGATTGCTTGATTAGAAGTAAATAAGATGCAAAAAATATCTCTAAAATGACTGCTCAAATGTGTAAATATTAATACATAAGGAATTCCAAATTATGACTCTTCGGGGGGAATTTTTATGGCAAGTTCTGACAAAATCCATTTCAGCATTTGTGAAATGTCAAAAGCAAACCCAAAGCCCTTTTCAGGAGAAGGCTCAGCCTTTAACTAAGTGGAGTTTTTTGAAGTGAGTGGAGTTTTGAGTGGTTGGAAGATTGGCTGAATCAGCTCCTGAGCCAACAGAGCAAGGCTTGACAAATCCTGTGCAGGAATACAAGCAGTGCCTGGGCTCCAGGATCAAGGCCAGGGCTTAGCAGAACCACCTGATCTTCCTACTTGACTTGTCAGATTTTGAGTGAGCAAAATACACTGACAAAAAATACACTTGTGACCTTTTATTTTTGATGAGATTTAGTGGATAAATTTTGAAGTGTTTCCCACATCTATTCACTTTGACAAATGTCACACTGATGTGAAAAAGGAGCCCTCAGTGGAATTTCTTTAAGTTGTCAACAGAGCCCAGCAACAGCTGATTTGCACTGGCTGTGACCCTGAGTGATGAATGTTCCTGTTCTGGCACCTCTGACTCCTCCAGCACTGAAAACTAACACTGGAAATATTCACAGGCAATAGGTAAAGAAGCAAAATGTAGGAGTTGTGAATGCCCAAACTGAGCTTGTCCCTAAAGCAGTGTCCGTGGAGGGAAGTAAAAATAATTGAAAGCTTTATGTGCAGCATTTCTAAAGCAGTTTTGGTTATCACTTTCTTACAGTGCAAGGGCAGCAGCAGAAATATCCTTACACAGGGAGCTTGGGAGGGGTTCCAGTGGAGCTTGTGAGAGGAGGTGCTGAGACATTCTTGAGAAAAATTCAAAACTGAGCTCCATTGAAAATCCTCATCTTGTGGTCCTGACTATTAGATCCACACTAGGGGGAAAAATGTGATTTTTGTTTGATGGAATCTGTGACACTTTCTAATTTGCAATGTTTTTCACCTCTTTTTTTTTTTCTTTTTCTGTGTGTGTTTTTGCACCTTCCCTTCTTTTAGAGGCCATGCCCCCACTGGAAAACCTTACAGTGTCAGATGTGAACCCCTATGGGTTCACAGTGTCCTGGATGGCATCGGAGAATGCCTTTGACAACTTTCTAGTAGTCGTGGTGGATTCTGGCAAGCTGCTGGACCCACAGGAGTTCCTCCTTTCGGGAGCCCAGAGGGAGCTGAAGCTCAAAGGCCTAATTACTGGCATTGGCTATGAGGTTTTGCTTTATGGGTTTGCCAAGGGGCACCAAACAAAGCCCCTGAGCGCTCTGGCTGTTACAGGTATTTCAATGTGAGCAAATTTTGTTCCCTTCCACCCTTTTTCTCTCTCACTTTCCTTCTCACATGGAAGACGTTTCGTGCAAACCTTGGCTTTTTGCATCCTTCTCTGCATCGTGGCTCCACGTAACTCCGTCATGACCGGTGGAATTCTGTTCCCTTTAACTGGATGTGTCCCCCTGAGGGATCCTGTGGAGGAGCATGTGGGGGCCTGAGGGGTGAAAGTTCCTTCTGGTCTTGCAGGTACCTCTAACAAAGTCTTGAAAGAAGAATGGCTGCATGCAGAGCTCGTCTTGTTAACAGCTGGGCACATCAGCACTCTCCAACAGCAGCATCCTCCCACGTTCCACCCACCAGGAGCTTCAGGAACAACCATGGACTTCTTCCCATGGCCTCCTCTTTTCCCTCTCTGTGTAATTCCACCCACAGTGGGATCATTGCCACCCCAAAGCTGGCACCTCTCTCCTCAAACCAGCTCATGCTTCCAACCCCATCACAGCTGCTGAGTTCCAGCAGCACTTGAGCTTTCTTGGGAAAGGATTGCAGGCTGATTCTCCAGCCCCAGAACCATCAGCTCTCATCTGCACATTCCTGGCTGGGCAGCAGCAAAGCTGGGAATGGGAATCTGGTGGGAGGTTTGAGAGGAAATTAGTAGGAATGGCTGTGTGTGGAAGGCAGGTTTGCATTTGGTGGGAAGTTTGAGAAGAAGTAAATAGGAATGGCTGTGTGTGGAAGGCAGGTTTGCATTTGGTGGGAAGTTTGAGAAGTAATAAATGGGATTGGCTGTGTGTGGAAGGAAGAACTTCATTTGGTGGGAAGTTTGAGAGGAAACAAATAGGATTGGCTGTGTGTGGAAAGAAGGATTGCATTTAGTGGGAGGTTTGAGAAGAAATAAATAGGAATGGCTGTGTATGGAAGGCAGGATTCCACTGGAGGTGGGAGGTTTGAGAGGAAATAAATAGGAATGGCTGTGTATGGAAGGAAGGATTGCACTGGAGGTGCTGTAGGACATAACCACTCCAGCAGCATTTCTCTAGCTAATGGTGCCTGACCATATGAGTTAGAGGTGTTTTGCAGGTAATTAATTACTTACAGCCCTTGGGATCCTTTTGAATGGGTTCATTAACCAAAGGCGGCAGCTCTTGCATTTAGATTGAAGGATGCTGTTGAAGAGAGGAATTTTCATGGTTCCTCTTTGCTGTTTAAGAGCACAGTAAAGGATTCATCAGATCAGAATCATCACAGATGCCAGAAGTGCATGAAATACGGGGTTTGCATGGAGAAAAAGAACTTTCAGTGGCTTCTATGTTGTCCTCCTAGCAGAGAGAGCTCTGACAATGTTCCAGACCTGCAGTTCTGTAACAAGAGCTTGTTTTTATTGGCCATAAATGTGTCACACAGGTAGGGAGGGATCAATGCCCAGGAAACTCACCTTTAGCATGTGTAACTCTGCATGTGGGAGACAAACCTGTGTGTCCATGCAGTGGTTTGCTGTTCAAGAGTGAAAGTTAGAATGGGCCTGCACACACTCACATTTATCCTCTTCTGTATAACACTAATATTTTATTTTGTTTTTTTTTTTTTTTAATAGCTGGCAGATTGTTCCCCTTGCTTTGAACTGTGGTCGGATTCTTGCAGTGTGCTATAGCCAGACCTCAGGCAGGTCTCTGATCAACTGATTAAAAAATCATTTTTTTCTTTTCCCCACTGCTATCTTCTCCTTTTTTAGAAGCAGAACCCGAGGTCGACAACCTCCTGGTTTCAGACGCAACCCCAGATGGATTCCGTCTCTCCTGGACTGCAGATGAAGGGGTTTTCAACAGCTTTGTTCTAAAAATCAGGGACACCAAAAGGAAATCTGACCCCCTGGAGCTGATAGTGCCAGGCCATGAGCGCACCCAGGATATAACAGGGCTGAAAGAGGGCACTGAATATGAGATTGAGCTCTATGGAATTAGCAGTGGACAACGTTCCCAGCCTGTAAACACAGTAGCATCCACAGGTATTGTCTTTGCAGAGGGAAAAGTGTGACATTCCCTGCTCCTCCTCACAGCCAGCTCGTGCTGTCCCAGAGGTGCCCTGAAGTGTCTCCTGCATGTCCCTTGTCCAAGTCACTGCTTCGGTGTGGTGTGGTTGTTTGTAATCAGCCCCAGCTTCCCAAGCTTTGTCACTGTCTGTTTAATATGGTTTAATTAAATTACTTTAATGGTCAGGAATTAGGCAGCAGAGTGTGGCAATTAAAACAGTGTCTTTGAGGGCCAAGAAATATTGTCTGTGCATCAGCCTTTTCAGTGATTTTCTGTGACTAATTACATCTCAGCTCTGCACAACAGTTTACCTCCCTAGGAAAGAGTTATGACAAAATGAATTTACCAGGGCCATTGAGAAGTTTATTTATGGCTTGATCAGCAAAGGCCTAAGCATCATTAATTTAGACTGATCTTACCAGGAGCAACATGTGCTGGGTAATTCAAATTGACTTGAGTTTCTTTGCAAAATCAAAGCTTTGATTCAGGCTCATAATTGAAGCGTTCCATTTTGGCACTTTTGAATGAAGCGTTTCAATCTTTTTTTTCCACACCAAAATCGTGGTTTCATTCTGAAGCACATTCAAACCTGAAGCATATGACACACAGTCTCATGAGCTAAATTCGGTCTTTAAAAAATGTTGAGCTTGTGAAAATGTGGTAATTTGAAATCAAATTAATTAATGGAGGAAAGGAAAAGGATGAGACAGGAGATCTCACCAGGGCTGCAGCTCCTCCCGAGGGACAGCTCCCATCTCTGCTCTGGGACAGGGACAGGGTGGCACTGAATGATCCCTTCAGTCCCTCCCAGCTCAGGATATTCTATGGTTCAATGATTCTAACAAGAGCTCTATTTATATGCAGAGTGGGATAAGGATCTTAAGTTTCATAGGATTTCTGAAACTGGGGTAATGATAAGAGATTTAAATCTCCAGACCCTTGCTGTATCTACATGACCTGATTTCTGAGGGAGCTTTGATAACAGAGATGGACAAATCAGGAGAAGCTGGTCCCACACCCAAGTTCCCCTGGCTGGAGGGGGTCTGGGCAGGAACAGGGGCTGGATTTGGTGATCTTTGGGATCCCTCCCAGCTCAGCATATATTCTAAGTTCCATGAGTGAGCAAAGCAGCAGGAATGCCCAAAGGAGGCATTTGCCAGCAGCAATACCTCAGTGTTGAACAGCTTCTCCTCCTCTTCTTCCTCATCCTCCACCCTGCTGTCTGTGGGCTCAGCTGCCCTCCTGCCATCCCATCCCTGCCACAAACAGCCAGGCCACCCTCACCATCCTCCAGACATTTCCATGAAGCAGAACCTGCACCAGCAGCCCCCCTTGGCCAGCACTACCCCCTGAACCTGACCATGAACTGAAACTTCTTCCACAAATATTCAAGCCCATCCTTCCTAGGAACCCCACTAATCCTCATCTCAATAACATTCCCAGCTCTCTCACTACCCTCCCTAGGGACAATTGATGAATTACTGACCAACTCTCAACCCTCCAGCCACGGTTTATCAACCTAGTCACAAAACAACTAATAATACCCCTGGACAAAAAAGGACACAAATGAGCCTTAAGCATATGACTCCTAATGGAGAGGGGTGTTTAAAGCCCACTGCACTTTTCAGCAGCAGTTCCCCATCCTCAGTGACGCCAGAATATTTATGGAAGTCACTGAGAGTTATCATTTTCCTCATAACCATGTCCCTGTGCAGCCCTTGCAGGGAGATTTAGCACATGTCACCTGCTGGAGCCAATAGCCCAAGAGATGTTTGTCAGCTGTAAATAGTCCATGAATAATGGACAATAAAGCCACAAAAACCCAGCTAAATAATTTGGGCTGCAGGTTACACCACATTGGGTGGGTGGCTGCCAAGGCAGACAACTAATTTCTTTTTTAGGAGTGGATTATTGCACAAACATATGGATATTTATAGCATTTCCAGTGTGGTTGCAAGGAAATATTTCTATTCCTGAAGAGGGAATTTATCCACTGCTGCTCTCAGAGTTGGTGCCTTTTAGAATTTTATCTGTAAAATCTCAGTTAAGTTGCAATTTAACCCCCACTAGGAGATCACAACACATCTATGGCCCAATTAATATCCTTGTGGGAGGTGTGAGTCTCATGCTGCTCCTTTCCTCTTCTTCCAGTGGTGTTGTGGCACACTGTGACAGCATTTTTTTTCCCTGAGATGATCACAAAACCCTTCACATGCTCTTGATTTGTGGTTAATGCAACCTGCTGCTTGCTGTTGAGTGGGAGAAGAAAGCCAGGGAATATCTTCCTCTAGTCTGCTAGGAGTGAAAGAACAATTAGCAAACAAAAATCCCTAAAAAACAGCCTGTCTCAGGTACTTTGGGTGCTTTAGCTGCCTCTCAGGAGAGTTCCCTGTCCCGCACACAACTCTTTGGGAATGATGCTGGAGGATAAAGATAATTTACTGTGCCTGCACCACAGATGCCCTGAGGTTCTCTGTGAGTGCCAGCTCAGGGGCTCACTGGCTGCTTTCCATGCCTGCTTCATTCTGGCTTCCAGGTAGCCCAGGAAGATGATTTAATTCATTTCTTTTTCATTTTCCCGTGCTCCAAGGTGCAAATCTCTCCCATCTCTGGGACTCATTCCAGGACAGATGCTCTGATGGTCCATTGTGTTTCCTGCCAGGTTCTCTCCCAGGAAAGCTGCAGCTGGGGGATTTGGGGATGTGGAAAACTCACATCAAAGCTCTTCTTACTGCTCTTTGTCATGCAGCTCACCTGGTGCAGAAAACAAGCCTGAGGCCCATGGAAATGTGCACAGCAGAGTCCAAGTGGGACGGATTGGGGATTTTATTTCCTGGGAAAGGCTGAAATTCTCCATGTGTATGCAAACCAAGTGCTCGTCCATCTGTTTGGTCTCCAAAATCACCATTTCTCTTTTTCTTCAGCCTCTCAGGCCACCTATAATGTCAAGCAAAACCAATCTAATTTTAATTTCTCTATCTTTCCTACCTTTTCTTTATTTTCTCTGATTTCCTTCAGCCTGTACCCAAACGAGCAGTACCTTTTTGTGCCACGTGGCTTTTCCAACCCCACTTTTCTTCCTTTCTTATCTGTAATTCTTTTCTTCCCTTGGCTTGTGAGCAAACCCCACCAACACAACACTTCTAGTGAGCTCCAGAAACATAATTTACATTTCTCTTGAGAGCTCAGTTGTTTTTCTTTCCTTGCCTTTCAGTTGATTTAGTGCCCTGCTGCTTTGGGGACACATGGAACAAACAGCCTGTGACTCCTTTCCTGCAGAAATGTTCTTTCCAAGCTATTTCAAGCCCAATCCCTATTTTTTCCCCTCCTCTTGCCCCCCTTTCCCTGCTCTCAGCCTGTCTCCACATTCCTCTTCATGTGGCTGATGTTTGGGATTTCTCCTCTTTGTTCTAAAGGCCTGCTCTGTGTGTGATGTTTATTTTTTAATACCTCAGGGTTGTTTTGGTTACAGCCAAAAAACTTCGGAAAGATTGGAAATGGGATGCTCAATGTAAACCTGGAAGAGGCAGCTCTTTTTACCACGTCCTTCCAAAGCCCTTTCCATGCTTGTTCTGCAGGATCTTAATTAAGCCTCCAACTGGAATGTTTCAGATACATGCTGGGTTTAAGTCTGGGTTATTTTTGGTAAAATTTGGGCTTTGTTTGCCCAGTTTACTGATTTAATTTACGTGGGCAAGTGCAGTGAAAATGCAGTGCTCAGGTTTTGACAGGGAAAGGCTGAGTTTTGTGACAAAGAGCTGCAGGTACCTTCCCCACAATGGTTGTACTTGGATGTTCTCTGGATGGATGTGTTTGAAATCATGGGCTCAGAGAGAGGATCCAGGAGGAAAAACTTGTTGCTTCTGGTTTGAAGCCAACAGAAGTTCCAGGTGTGAGTCCTTGAGAGGAGCCTTGAGGGGCTCCCACACCTGACCCAGGTCTCCTTGGAGCATCCTGCATTAGGAATTTTATGCCTAGGTAGGGAGATCTGTCCATGGCTGTCCCTGCTGTGTGTCACAGAGGGCTCTGGGGCTCAGTGGAAGGTCTAAAAATCCTCCAAGTGAAACTGGGATAGAAAAAAATCTTAAATACAGCATGCCATGGGTAGTAGAATGTCATTTCTGTGCATGTTCCTCCTGCTATTCTACAGCACTGAAATCTCTGTTATTCCTATATGTAGATACACATTGGGTATTTTTAACCTATGCAATACTGGACAAGTCCTGAAAAAAAGGAAAATTTGTTGCAAATATGTTGTTGCTGTAATGGAATCCTTCAGTTTTGTACCTCCTGCATGAATGTTGTTTAGAGCAGAACACTGACAGCAGCAGCTCATGGTTTAGGGTGATAAAACAAATCAAGGATTGATAAACAGGACTAAGGACTGATAAACAAACAATTCACCTTTTCCTCCTGTGTGGTGTGTTCTCCGTTCTCCCCTGACAGTGGTTGGCTCTCCCAAGGGGATTTCCTTCTCTGACATCACAGAAAATGCTGCCACAGTCAGCTGGACCCCCCCTCGCTCCCGCGTGGAAAATTTCCGGATCTCCTACGTCCCTGTCACAGGAGGTGAGCAGGAAGGGTTTGCTGGGCTGCCATCCCTCTTTCAGGGCATCCCCCAGGTGATCTTGCACAGATCATCTCTTTTTCTTCTTCAGGAATGGGGCAGTGCAGCCAACCTCTGTCTGGGCACCGTGCCCACATCCCATGGGCAGGGCTCAGAGGTGGATGCTGGAGTGGTTGTGCTCCTAAGAATTCTCTGTCTGAACCTCCTCAGCAAGGATTAGTTTCCAAACTGTCATTATTTTGTAGGCACTTCATGAGCTGAGCACACTGGAAAAGATGGCCCTTGGAAACAATAATCAAAATCCATGGTTATAACTATTTTTCAAGGCAGTGATTTACTCAGTGCTCCCCAACGGTTTCATTCTGGTTTAGTGTCCAACTTCAAAAGCTTCCCCTACTTCAACAGATTTTTAACCTAATTTAGGGACATTTCTAAAGGGAAACAGCTAAAGAACAAACACTTAAACATCAACACCAAAAGACATCAGCACAAAAAAAGCTGCTGCTGTTGACTGAGACAAGGAAAGATTTACATCTTTAGACAATATAGCCTGGAAGCACATGTGCAGCTTTAAATACACTAGTCCCACAGAAGAACAGGAATCCAGTCATAAAGTTAGGCACTTGTCTAAGTGCTTTCCTGGAATAAACCCAGAATTCAGAGCAAAGATTGGTGCTAAGTCCTCAGTCACACACAGAGCACCTTTCAAAATAACATGCATCTTTATTCTAAATGAGAGGGGTGAAGGAGAATCTTCCAGCCCTCATCACAAAAAAGGCAGATCTAAACTGTAAGTGCTGTCCTCAAGGTGTTTGAACTCCCAGGTAGAGACTGCTGGGGTTTCTGCTTACACCTTGTCTGGGAAATTGTATTTTTCTGAACAGAAAACACAGAATCGTTTGCATAGGAAGGTGCCTTAAAGCTGATCACATTCCAACTTCCTGTCACAGACAGGGACACCTTCCACTGAAAATGTTAATTTTTCTTACTGAATACAAACCAATGGTTTAGATTTAGGTGTTAAGGCAACACTATTTTACAGTGGTTGTAACTATCTGTGGTGGCCATAATGTCTTTAACTTTAAAAACACCCTTCAAGCATTTCCCGGAGTACTGTGTCACTCATCCCTTGTCATTTGGCCTCATCCTAGGTACTCCAAATGTTGTCACAGTTGAGGGGAGCAAGACAAGGACCAAGCTGGTGAAGCTGGTCCCAGGTGTGGACTACAACGTCAGCGTCATCTCTGTGAAGGGCTTTGAAGAAAGCGAGCCCGTCTCTGGCATCCTGAAAACAGGTAATGATACAAAGGCAGCAAATAGCAGCTCTTTAAATGGCTCATCGGACTCAGGGACTGGAGCTGCAGACTCACCAAGATCCCATTCTTGCTGCCCACACAAACTGTAGGAAGGTCTTTGTCCCACTCCTTCTTTGTCTTTGCATTTTACATGAGGATGGAACTTGAAAATTTGGTCAGGCTCCCGTTTCCTAAGTGCTAAATAAACCTGTGAGATGGAGACAATTAATGTATTTGCAGTTCTAAGTCACCAGAAAAAAAAAATCAAAAGCTTCTTTGGTTTTTTTTTTAATTAATGCTGGTTTTGAGATGAGGGAGGAAAGGGCCACCTCAGCTGAGCAGTTCAGGCCAGTTTCTGTTGTGAACTGCACATGTCCCAGGCTCCAGACTGTCCTAAGCATAAAAACATTCTCTTCAATATTCTCTAAATGTTTTTCTTAGTATTCTGTCTCCTGTTTTTTTTTTTTAAATATCCCTGCAGACAATGAGACACTCTGCTCCTGCTGACCCCTCCTTGTATTCTTTTTGGGGGCTGACAAACATTCAGAGAGCTGAGGCAAAGAACAAGATGATGACTACTGATAATGACAGGAGATTTATAACCCATTCCAGCTGCTCTGGAGGCAAAGATCCCATCTTAATTCAGGGAGAGCATAAACCTGTGTGAAAAGTGGAGTTCTGTGAGGAGGCAAAGCAGGACATGGGGGGATTTTGGATGTCTGGCTGGCTGTGGGATTGGTTTGGTCCAAAAAAGCTGCTGGAAGGTCACAGTGGCCATCAGCTGCCGTCACTTTGGTTATTTTTCCCAGCTCTATCTCCTGAATTTGTTCTAAAAAACAACCCAGATTTGAGAGTGTTGAGAGAAATATGTCAGCTTTGACAGAGCTGTTGAGATTGATGGTATCAAGAGTGATCTGAGAACGTGGTTAGCTCTGTTTGTTCCCAGAATTTCATCTCTTCCAGCACTGACCTCCCTTTCCAGAGAAGGTTTTGGTGTCTCTTCATAGGCACTGACGTCTTTCCTGCAGAACTCCACTATTCCAGAGGGAGCCATAAAAGCTGCACTGAGTTTTGGGCATTTTCTCTCATGAATTTACAGCAGAGCATTGCACAGAGCTGAGAGCGTTTGTCAAATTCCTTCAATCTTTTTTTTATCAAATTCCTTCAATCTGTTTTTCTTCCAGCTCTGGACAGCCCATCAGGCCTGGTAGTGATGAACATCACAGATTCTGAGGCTCTGGCAACCTGGCAGCCAGCAATTGCTGCTGTGGATAACTACGTGGTGTCCTACTCTTCTGAGAAAGGTGAGAGGAGCTGTGTTTTGTGGAGATAAACAAAACTCCGCAACTTTTGTGAAAGTTGTAAAGCCGGTTATGTTTATTACAGCGCTGGACACATGTGGGAATTGTTCCTCTAAAATGACATGTGTACCTCTGGAAACTTCAGGTCCCTTTTTATCTCCCTCTCAGATACATATGCATACAATTTCACAATAGGTTCATACATATTCATTTTTATGAATTTCACATGACATTTGCCGCTAGTTCTTCTTTATGAGAAACAATTTTTAGGTCAGGTTGAGCTGCTCTCACAGCAGTCTCTGTCTCTCTTTATCACCCTCTGTATCCTCCCCTTTATCTCTGTCTTTCACTGAAGCAGTTTCTCTGAGCTTAGGCTTTTTGCAGTCAGGCTACATAGCTATGTTTTCTAACTACAGACTTAACTCAAAGATTAACATTTCACCTGAATAAAAATAGATTTCTACTCTGGAAAATTTCTACTCTGTGTCAGCTGGAAATGGCTTGAGGGGCTGAAAGGTTAAAGTTCTCAAGAGGTGCTGATTGTAACTCCAGGAAAATCACAGAATATCCAGAGCTGAAGGGACCCATTAGGATCATCTAATCCAACCTCTGTCCCTACCCAGATCCTCCACCAACCCCACCCTGGGCATCCCTGGCAGCGCTGTCCAAAGGCCCCTGGAGCTCTGGGGCTGTTATTTGGAGAAGGGGCTTTGCTGGAAGCATTTAAACATTGATCGTTTTAATTCAGCACTCTCGATTCAGCCGTGAGCAGACACAAGGGAGATTCCTGGGAAGCAGAGGTGGTGTTATAATCCCTGTGAACACTAGAGAGAGCTCACACTTTTAGAGAAAGGGCTCTGGTGGAACCCAGGCTCAGCAGAGGTGCCAGCACAGCCATGGGCTTTTACCATTCTGCACTTGCACCAACTAGGAATAAAAGAAATCAGTGAGTGGAGCACAGAGTTGAGCACATCATATTTTCTGGAAAAATATTTTTTCCAGGATTTCTCTCCTGGGAAACTGAGAAGCCTTAGAGAAAAAAGAAAAAATATTATCTCATTTGCTTCTCCTGTGTTTTGCTGCTTTGGAATGTGTTGGAGATTGTTTATCCAACATGTGAATTATTCTGACTTAATGACCAATCGTTCAGGCTGTGTAGGGGCTTTGGAGAGTCACAAGTTTTTCATTAGGATTTTGTTAAGCTTTCTGTAAGTATCCTTTCTCTATTCCTTAGTATAGTTTAGTATGGCATGATATGATATGATATAATATGATATAATATAATATAATATAATATAATATAATATAATATAATATAATATAATATAATATAATATAATATAATATAATATAATATAATATAATATAATATAATATAATATAATATAATATAATATAATATATTTCTAAGAACATGGAGTCAGATTCATCATTTCCTTCCTGCCACGGGGAACCCTGACAATACCACACACCATGATGTGTCTGAATGCGATCAACATCTCATTTGTGCTGTGTTCTGTTCTCAGAGCCAGAGGTGACCCAGCTGGTGTCAGGGAACACGGTGGAGTACGACCTGCAGGGGCTGCAGCCTGCCACCGAGTACAGGCTGAGCGTCCACGCGCAGAAGGACACGCAGAGGAGCGAGAGCCTCTCCACGCACTTCACCACAGGTGCCACCCCACCCACAGCCAGCCCTTCCAGTCCCACCTGCTCTCTGCTCCTCTGCTGCCTTTTTCTCTGGAAATCTGAATTTTGATAGTGTTTGCATCACCTTTCTCTGCTGGGGCTGACCAAAGGTGGTTTTCTGTTAGTGATGTCTCAGGTTTCAGCTTTTCTATTTTTCACATTCTGTGCTGCTTTAGTGTGTGGGTCTGAGCTTCACATCAGGGGATGCTGAGCTGTGTGCACAGAGCAGAGAGACAAAACAATTCCTGCTCCAGCTGGGCACCAAGGACAAATGATCCAAATCTCAGCCCAAGAGCACAAACACTGAGGGCTGGAGAGAGAAAAACAAGCAGGGTGGGACTGCCTGGGCTAAAGCTGGAATGGGACAATGAACTGCAAGGTGCAAATGGAGCAGAACTGATCACAGGGAGAGACCCTGTGCCCGGTCGTGCATTTTGGGGCCATTTTGGTTCATCTTGGGTGCAGCCCTGGCTGGGCTCTTGTGCTGCCCAAGGTGAATATTCTCAGTTCAGTTGAACAAAGAACAGAGATGATTTCTCCCAGGCTAAAAATCTTAGAGGAAAGAATTTAAACAATTATTATCTCTATTTCTATAACCATTATTTATAAATACAGCCCTCCAGAGTGTGCTATTCATAGTTCACCAATAGTGTGAGATGTTCCTACTTTGAAACCAATCAAGTCTCTCCTTAGCAAGTCGCATTATAAAAAGACCCACTACTTTTATTAAACACTTTTGCCTTCTGATCCACCTAAAGACTGGAGGCTTTCATTCAGTCCCTGGCTCAGCAGCATCAGGGACCAAGGACAAATGATCCAAATCTCAGGCCCAAGAGAACAAACAATGTGGACTGAAGAGAGAAAAACAAGCAGGATGAGATTTCATAACCTAAAGTTGTAAGTAGAGAATTAGTTCCAATATGCAAATGGACCAAAACTTGTAACAATATGAGATCACCAATTCTGCAGAGTCTCAGGGCAGGAGCTCTTCCTTGGCTGCTGAACATGCCCAGCTGGTTTCACACTCATGGCTTTCCATGAGCATCAGTGGGATCAGGGATGGTTCTCATTTTCTTGCCTTGGCTTGTCCCAGGATATTAATTAGGAAGCCACACCAATCCAGTCCTGTAACCACAGAGGGGAAGGGAAGCTGGAGATTTGAGCCAGAACAAGCAGGAAAAGTTTTCCTATTCTAAAAAGTTTCCTATTCTAAAAAGTTTTCCTATTCTAAAAAAAGCATAATTGGAACCAGAGTTTTATTTCCTGGGAATATGTAAATACCAATCTGTCTTCTTGTGAGAAATAATGAAATGCACAATTTTCTCTCAAAAGACATTTCAGTGCAACTGTTCATAAAATAAGGTGCCTGTAACAAGGCAATATTTTAACTTAGATAAAGTTAACACCTTTATTTTAAACTACCAATGGGAAAATTAATTCTTAACCACAAAAGTTAAGGTTGAAGTGTTTTTTCATTTCAAATTTCTCTGGAGAGAAGGTTTGTTTTCCGGGCTTGTTTTAATATACGGCCCACAAGATAACCTGTGGAACTGACTTTGTATGGATGTGATTGTAATTGCTGTGGTGTCTCCTGCAGGGCTGGATGCTCCAAGGGATTTGAGTGCCACTGAGGTGCAGTCAGAAGCAGCTGTGATGAGCTGGAGGCCTCCCCGTGCTCCAGTCACTGGATATCTCCTGATCTATGAATCCATCGATGGCACAGTCAAGGTAAATAAACCTCAGGGGCTGTGCCTCAAATCTGGGCAGTGAAGATGCTCTGAAGAGTCCAGCAATGCCACATAATCATGTGTCTTAATTTAAACACTATATTTAAAAATGCTCACTGCCTCTTTCAGTGCTAGATTGAACACAAATGCATTTAAAACGTGTTAAAGGACTTTTGTACATTATACCCTGAAACTGAAGCTCCATTGCAGCTTGAATTTTGCCTTTCATCCCTTCACAATACAGAAAAAATCACAAACATTTTCCTTCGTTCCAAACAGATACCATGGAGTAAACTCAAACCCCCAAAGGATGTGACTCACTTTTCTAAACTCAGGGGAACCCCTGTGCAAAGGGGTGTCTAAGGAAGAATGAACTTGCCTCTTATTCTCCTATAATTTTAATTTGTTCCTACATAGTTATATTACACAAAATATTTAAATATTAATCAGGTGAATCCCAGAAAAAATAAAATTTTGGATGCCCAGCCTGGATCATTGGACAGGATTCTAATTTTCAGGAAGGCAAATTCCCCAAGCACACTGAAAATCAGTCCTTTAAAACTGCCTTTTAAAGCCTGGAGTGCAACATTTCCTCATCCTAAAGGATGAGTTCCCCAGTTTTTTATGAATTTCACAATCTGTACATTGAGGACATGTAAGCATTTATGCTGCCTTGCTTTCAAACCTCCCAGCTTGTACATTATGATGGTAAACACTCATTTCCAGGCAGGCTTTATTGAACTTTTAAATATTAGCTTGGTAAAAATCTTAGAGGAGTAGCTTTATATTAATTAATCTAGATGGTTAAAGATACCATCAATAATTATGACAAAAACCAATGTGACAGACTAAAATATGTAACCATTCTGGTCATTATGATTTATTTCTCTGAGATTTCCCTGTATTATTTCTTTTCTCAATAGGAAGTCATCCTAAACCCCGAGACAACCTCCTACAGCCTGACAGAGCTGAGCCCCTCCACTCAGTACACGGTGAAACTGCAGGCCCTGAGTGGGGCCCTGAGGAGCAAAACCATCCAGACCATACTCACCACCAGTAAGGACGTTAGAATAATCTGAATTATCTAAAATAATACTGAATACTGATCTAAAATAATCTAAATACTGCTGAGCTCTGCTGTGAGGACACACAGACCCCACACAAGATTTTAATCTGTTTGTAGTGTTGGTGCAAAGTCTCTGTTCTCCCAGACCTGTTTTCCCTTGGCAGGTTGAAATTCCAATATCCATCCACATCACCCTCACAGTCTGGTGAAACATCCTGCCTTGCCAGGGTGAAATATCAGCAGGAACTCTTTAAAATCCAGCTGACACTTTGATTTCTCCCTGTATCGATCCCAGCGAGCAGGGGAAACAAATCAGAGTTTGGAGCTGAAATGAAGCAAACCACAAAGGCACACACAGATCAGTGCTGGGGGCTGAGCAGATGGATTTCTGGGCAGGCTTTTCTCCTCTGTCTAAGATGGGCTGTCTCAAAGCCCCTCTGCACATCAGCTCCAGCCCAACAGGACAGCTCTGCAAGGATAAATTGGCTTCTCTGAAGGTCACTTCACAGCTGACATTAAAAAAAGGAGTTGCTCTGTATTAGCTGTGACACTTTGCCTGCCATTTGTCTCACTTTTCCCAGTTTCCAGCCTTTCAGGCCCAGCAGGACCTTCAGTCATCCCCACTCCCCCTCCTGCTGCTGGCACCAACTCCAGCCCAAGCACTGCCAGAAGTCACCCAGCCCTGAGCCTGCCCTGTCACTGCTTGTGCAGAGCAGGATGAACTCACCAACACACCCAGAAACAGGAGAGGAATTAAATCTGGGTGAATTTAGGTGATGTTTGGCAAATTGACCATGAGCAGGGACTGACCAGGTGCCTTCAGCCATGTGAACAGTGTCAGACTCATTCAGGCAGAAGCTTAAGCCTGGCCTTAACTCCAAAAATACATTTGTGTCTATTTATTGACAGGGATTATTTAGTGACTGTTTAGTGACTGTCACTCTTAGTGACTGAAGGAGCCCCCTGTAGAGTCATTTTTCTCCAAATCCCAAAGCTGATGGAAAGTTGCTTGGCCTTAAATCACACCAGGGAGGTTTAAATTCAATATAAGGAAAAATTTCTCCATGGAAAGAGTTGTAAAGAATTGGAATAAGCAGTGTTGGAGTCCCCATCCCTGGAAGTATTTAAAATACCTGTGGAGGTGGCACTTGGGGACATGGTGGTGAGCATGATGGTGGGACTGTGTTAATGGTTGGACTTGATCTTAAAGGTCTTTTCCAACCTTAACAATGCCATGATTCTGTGAAATCCTCTGGAGCTGAAGCACAGGCAGGGATGTGTAACACTGGCAAGGACCAGCAGCCACTCTGTGAGAAGCTGCAGGTAAAAACTCTCCTTTGGATGCACCTTAATTGGCCGAAAAAGTGAATGACCTGAGTGAATAAAACAAAAAAAAATAAAAGGTTTTTTAGGGGGGTTAGAAATTGTTCTGACTGCAATGATTTTATTGCCTTGTTGTCAGAAAGAAAAGCTTAACAACATTTTCCTGTAGTTTCAGCTGTTGCTGTTTGCTTTTTTTTTTAGGAGTGTAGCTTTATAACACATTTAATATTGTCCTTGCTAGCAAAACACATGAAATTAATTTATTTTTGATTGAATTCCTGTCCTTGTATCCCTCCTCCATTTTCTGTCACATGAGCAGAGATTGGTACATTTGTTTTTCCCCAAAAATTGCTGTAACACAGCTCCTGAATTTCAGCTTTTAGCTGGAGGATGCACTCCCATCATAGCAGGGAGTAGTTATCTAACATTCCCATCACTTCCAGCGTAGACAGATGTGAAAAACCACATTCAAAAGAAGAAATCACCTCACCAGCTGTGTCCTGTGGATGTTCTGTCTGCAAGATGCAATTACAGACCTGTTCCTGGGATTTGCAGCTGTCCCACAAGGGATTTTCCTGAGCCATCTGCATTGTGCACATTCCTTGTAACTGCTGATTTCCTAAGGAATGCTTTCTCCTCCCTGTGTGTGCAGCTGGGCTCCTCTATCCCTACCCCAAGGACTGCTCCCAGGCCCTGCTGAATGGAGAAGCCACCTCTGGGCTCTACACAATTTACCTGAACGGGGACAAGGCTCAGCCTCTGCAGGTGTTCTGTGACATGGGCGAGGACGGCGGCGGCTGGATCGTGAGTATGGGGCAGGGGCAGCACATCCCATCCTGCTCATCCAGCACCCTCAGAGTGCCATTATCACACTAGGGCTGTTCTATCTATAAATCTGGGGAGTTTTATCCTGGGTAGGTGTAGTGGTTTTGGTTCGATAATTTGAGATTTCACCAATTTTGAGGTTTCCCGGCCAACGTGCCAATAAGTGTGGTGGATTATTATCACAGTAGGATAATAGTGTTAGGATAATAGTATCACACTAGGGCTGTCCTGTCTATAAATTTGGGGAGTTCTGTCTTAGGTAGGTGTCATGGTTTTGGTTTGCTGATCTGAGATTTCACCAATTTTGAGGTTTCCCAGCCAATGCAGTAATGAGTGTGACAGGTTATTATCATAATAGGATAATAGTGTTATTATCACAGTAGGATAATAATGCTATTATCACAATAGGTCTGTCCTCTCTATAAATTTGGGAGTTTTATCCTGGGTAGGTGTAATTGTTTTGGTTCAATAATTTGAGATTTCACCAATTTTGAGGTTTCCCAGCCAATGCAGTAATGAGTGTGACAGGTTATTATCCCAGCAGGATAATAGTGTTATTATCACAGTAGGATAATAGTGTTATTTACACAGTAGGGCTGTCCTGTCTGTAAATTTGGGGAATTTTATCCTGGGTAGGTGTAGTGGTTTGTTTGCCAATTTGAGATTCCAGCAATTTTGGGGTTTCCTGGCCAACCCTCCAATGAGTGTGTTGGGTTATTTTCACAGTAGGAAGATAGTGTTATTATGATAGTAGGGCAGGCTTGTCTATAAATTTGAGGAGTTTTATCCTAGGTAGGTGTAATGGTTTTGGTTCAATAATTTGAGATTTCACAAATTTTGAGGTTTCCCAGCCAATGCACCAATGAGTGTGGCGGGTTATTATCCCAGTAGGATAATAGTGTTAGGATAATAGTATCACACTAGGGATGTCCTGTCTATAAATTTGGAAGTTTTATCTTAGGCAGGTGCAGTGGTTTTGGTTTGCCAATTTTTCACCAGTTTTGAGGTTTCCCAGCCAACACATCAATGAGTGTGGTGGGTTAGTACCACAGCAGGATAATAGTGTTATTATCACAATAGGATAATAGTGTTACTATCACAGTAGGG